AGGATTGTGGGTTCTCGCATGATGCAACTGGTGTGAGGTGCGTCCAGTTTGCTCGGTCTGGGAAGTGTCGATTTGGTGACAGGTGTGTCTTCGAGCATGGTGTTCCGTTGGAAAAACAGAGGCCAAGGTCTCCAAGGACGCCCCTAAGGGATGGTCCAAGGAGAAAGTCTGGTGCAAATGGTGGAGAAAAGGAGATCCCTCCTGAACAGTTCGATGATGATGAGGAGGATTTTATGGTTTATGACGAAGAGACCAAGAGGACGGAACTGTTGATGGAGGCGATTTCATTTCTCTCCGGTGGCAAGCCAGATTTGGCTCGAGCAGAGGCGGACCCATTGTTCAAACTCCTGAAGTTCACTGGAGATGCTGACCAAATGGATCAAGTATGGGTTTCGTGGACCACTGAAATGTTGTCAGTGCTGGAACTTCTCGAAGTAGTGAAGTCGTATGATGTTTCGCTCGCGGAGGTGGAAGAATGGGTCAATGACCTGAGGATATGGTATGAGCGAGCCAATTTGGGAGAAGAAAAGGATCCCAAAAAAGGGAAAAGAGGTCCCTAGAAGGGGAGTCCAGCAAAGATATTCCTGCCGAAAAAGAAGTGGTTGAGACTTCGGAGACGGAGGTTGCCGTTGAGGAGGAGAAGAAAAAGGTAAAAAAGAAGAGGAAAGCTGAAGCTATCGAAGATCCTTACACTCTCATGGTTCCAAAGCCGAAGAAGATGCCGACGATCATTGAGAAGGGTGGATCAACATCCAATGTGGTGGCTTCTGCAGTGGAAAAATCCTCGAAGACGCGCACAAAGTCAAATGTCGGTGGAAAGACAAAGAAGAAGGAGAAAAGTCAGAGTCCCAAAAAAGAAGAGGTGGTAATGGTGCAAGATCCTGAGGAAAAGGATCGTCCATCCGATGCGGAGGCGCCAGGGTCTGCCAATGCGAATGAAGAGCTGGGTCAATCTTGCCAGGCGATTGAGGATGCAAAGAGAGAAGGATTGGTATCCTCAATTCAAAGGGGCATACAGGATCCTATTCTTACGATTTCGGACCTGGAGTATATTCTGCTGCAACTTCACCTCAAGATTGCCAACAAACGGAAAAAGAAGTGATTGGATGGTATGGATGAAGGGATGGTTTTTCTCT